CGATGTTTTCTGCACTATGATCAGCTTGTTATTTTTTTGCACTATGATTTCTTTTAACGGTCTTGATAAAGTCAGCTAAGCATTGCCTTCTTGCGTGTGAGTTTCAGTTGTTGCTCTGTCTTACCACATCCAACAAAGTGGAAAACTTTTCCTTCCTGAATTCTTACGATAACTGCTGTTTGACGCCGCAGTTAGCGCTCCGGAAGTTATCACAAGAGTGCTGAGCTAAAGGCAGAAGTCTTGACCCCAAACCGGACTTACCTGCGCACGTCACGCCTCCTTAGCTATCTATGCGCCACAAGCATCCCTTCACGCCTGTAGTCAAGCTTCTACCCATTGCTCAGCATTCTTGTGACTACTTTTTTTCTTCCTAGCGTTCTTGTCCAAATACTGTCGAATGCTTCCCACCGACGGGTTATTAATTTCGGCCCCATCGGATACCGACCAGCAGCGGTCATGCCCATCTTCGGGTTATGTTGCAATCGCAGTTTAAGTCGGCTTTATTATGTTTACCAATGTAGATGACCTTGACGGCTGACCGATATAGTATCTGAGCTGATATAGGATTAGGAGATCATTATTGAACGTGACCATATCAGCGAATGTGAGATCCAGCAGGAGAGCTGGCTAGATCTTGTACTGCTTCATTGCAGATTTGGTTGGGTCGTGTACGTCCGAAACTTAATCAGAAGATTCCTATCTCCATAACATGGGTACTTGCTTCCTCGGCTCCGAAGACACTACTATATCATAAGTTCAAAAATAGACGAGATGCAGTTTCCTATAAGGCGCGTAAAACTGAGTTCGTAGTAGCAGCGGAAGCATAGAACGCCACCCACGTCTCGCAATAGCAGCTTCGGTGTACAGGACCGCTTACAGTATGCCTGACGTTTAGCACTCACGAAATTCATTCTGTAAATTCGCGACGGATTCAATTTCATGCGCAATTTAGGGGGGGGGTACCATATCCAGAGCCTTGTAGGAGGCTTATCCATGTGGGCACCGCTCGTTGCTGGAAACAGGGCCCGACATGCGTTATTTGATATTTTGGCCAAGTAGAATCCCTCCCCAAACATTTCCTCGCTCGGTACGGCTTCTTTCACAACCTACCTTTTCGTTCACCAACTCAACCAACGTTTTCACCACTTTGCCGTTGAAGCGGAGGGTAGGGGGAGGGTAGATGCCTATAACTATCAACAATTAGACTTTTTCTCCTCATGGCTAAATGCGATATCCTCTCCTGCGGTCAAGTACGTTCAAACCACAAAAATCTCGCTCGCGACTTTCGGAGCCCACAGCGATGGATACTGCTTGAAAATAGGAACCGTGCACGGTTACTCAACATTTTGGAAACCAGTATTC